TGGAGAAAAGATTGAAGTTGTCAAGGACTTCATTCTTCTTGGATCAACTATCAACACTCATGGAAGCAGCAGTCAAGAAATCAAATGACGTAGTGCATTAGACAAATCTGCTGCACAAGACCTTTTTAAAAGTGTTGAAGAGCAAAGATGTTAGCTTGACCCAAGTCATTGTATTTTCAATAACCTCATATGTATGCAAAAGCTGGACAGTGAATAAGGAAGACCATAGAAGAATTGATGCTTTTGAGTTATGGTGATGGAGAAGAATATTGAAAGTATCCTGGAATGCCAAAGAACCCATAGATCTGTGTTGGAAGAAATGCAGCCAGAGTGCTCCTTGGAAGCCAAGATGGCCAAACTTTGTCTCTCATACTTCGGACATATTATCAGAAAGGACCATTCGCTGGAGAAGGATATGATGTTTGGTAAAGTGGAGGGTCAGAGAAAAAGAGGAAGACCCCCAGCAAGACAGAGTGGCAGCATCAATGGGCTCAAGTGTGGCAACAATAGTGTAGTTGGGCCAGTATCGGGCAGTGTTACATTCCACTGTCGGTAACGACTCGATGGCACCTAAATATCTCCCTCAAAGGAGGTCTGGTAGTGTAATGGTTACAAATTGGGCTGCTTATCTCATGGTCAGCAGTTCAAAACTACCAGCTGTTCCGTGGGAGAAAGATGAGGCTTTCAGCCTCGGAAACTCTGTACAGGGTCGCTATGAGTTGGAACTGACTCCACAGCACATAACAACAACATCTCTCCCTCAAGGAGCTCTGGTAGTGTAGTGGTTATGAGTCAGATTGCTAACCTCTAGATCAGTAGTTCACAACTACCAGCTATCCTGCAGGAGAAAGATGAGGCTTTCTGCTTCCGTGGATTTACAGCCTCAGAAGCTCTATGCAGAGTCGCTGTGAGTTGGAATGGAATCCACAGTACACCACCACCATCACCATCTCTCCCTCTACCCACCCATGCATCTATCCTTCCATTCATCCACACACCCATCGACCTAGATCTCTGCCTGTCTTTCTCTCGATATCCACTCATCAGCCTCTATTTACCCTAATTGTACATGAATAGCATGCCCCTTATACATTTGCTTGCCAACTGTTCCCTGTTCTGCTCTCAGAAGTATTTTCATAAGTGTCTTGATGCCAATTAATTTTACATGTTGCCATAAAAAATTAGCATAGCACCTTCATAAAAATAGCTGGTGGGGGGGCGGGGTTGGCAAACAAATGTAGTGACTGGGTTGTTTGTATAACAATCTGGTATCTATCTCTAACCGCATCTTTTTTCTAGCTCCATCTGTCTGTCTGTCTTATTATCTATAGTGTATATATGCCCTTCTTTTCTCTCTCAAGTTGGGGATCGCTAGAGGAAATGGTCACCTGTGAGGACAGTAATTGAATTACAGCTGCCTACACGTCACAGGGTCGCTATGGGTCGGAACCGACTCGACGGCACTTAACAACAACAACAACACGTCACATGGAGTCCTAATGTGACACTGTGGGTTAATGTGCTGGATTACAAAGTTTAAATGTCAAGGTCAGTAGTTCAAGCTCACCAGCCGCTCCTTGGAAATCCTATACAGGGTCGCTATGGGTCAGAACCGACTCAACAGCACTTAACAACACTAGTTAGGAGTCCTAGTATGGGGCTTGCAGGATAATGCGCTCGATGGCAAGGTCAGTTTGGACTGCAAGATTGGTGGTTCAAACCCACCAGTCATTTCTCGGAAACCCTATAGAGTGTCACTATGAGTCAGAACTGACTTGACAGCACTTAACAACAACAACACAAGTCACGTTTGGAGTGGAAGGTGAGGGTGGAGAGAGGAGCCAGGAGTCCCAGCGGGCCATGGCTGTGGGCACAGGCTGAACATCTCCTCCCTCCTGCCCCGGCACCAGTCCATGCACATGGGAACTGATTACTCCCCACTAAACCCAGACAGAGCTGAGAGATAAAGGGATTACTCAGACCAAGGGAGCTGCTGGCATCAGACTGCTCCACCTAATCTTCCTGAACTTGAGTGGCATCAGCTCCTCAGAGTAAAAAATGATGCTGACAGGGGCCCCCAGGGGCCTGGATGGGGGGCTTGGAGATCTCAGGGGTGCCTTCTTGAGGCTGGTGCTGGGAAGTCTGTCTCCTCCTCCCCAACTTCCTCCTCTTGAGGAGGTAAAGTTCCCACCGCATACAATAACCCATTTCAAATGCACAATTCAGTGGCATTTGGTAGATTCACAATGCTGGATCGCCACCATTTCTGTTCAGCTCATCACTCATCCCCAAAGGCGACTCTGTGCCCATGAAACTGTCACCTGCCCCCGCCCGCCTGTTGTAGATGTCTCCTAGAAGTCCCATCATCCAGCGCTGTCCTGTTGTGTCTGGCCCATCTCCACGTTCACTCACTCCTCAGCCTGTATCGGGGCCCTGTTTCTCTTTGTAACTGAGAAATAATACCCCATGGTACGCATGGGCCACACTGTTTACTCGCCATCGATTGATGGCTTCCATTTTATTTTATGGAGTCCTGGTGGCACCGTGGGTTAAGCCTTTAGCTTCTATCCACATGAAGGCTGGTGGTTCAAACCCACCTGCCACTCTGAGGGAGAAAGATGAGACCGTCTGCTCCTGTAAAGATTGGCAGCCTTGGAAACCCTGTGGGGCAGTTCTCCTCTCTCCCATGGGGTTGCTGTGAGTTGGCCTCAATGTGATGGCCCTGGTGGCCACCTTTTGGCTGCATGGACATGGTGTACCATTGCTACCTGCTTAGGTTCCTGCCTTTCAGGTACCCTTCCAGGAGAAGGATAGCTAGTTTATAGCTATGCTGAATTCTACAGTGAACGTTCTCAAGGCCACCTGTCTTTTACACAAGGGCTCAGCGTCAAAGGCCATGAGACTGGCTCAAGGTCCAGTTCAGGGACATGCTGTGCCTTAGAGTACCTCACACCCCACAGCTGGTGTGGACACTGCCCAGCCCTCAGTATTTTATCAGATCTGACCAGGCCAGGCCCAACATCACCTCCCCCAGCTTGCCCGCTTGCCTGCTCGCCCGCCCCACGGACTACAAGAAATATCTGGAAGCAGTCAAATACAGACAGAATATCAAGTGGGCCACAGGACACAGAGGGGCTGCCTGACTGGGTCCCCACCATCACAAGGAGATGAGCTAGCCACAGACTGACGAGACAAAGGCAGCTGGAGAGACAGACAGAGACAGGGGAGACAGAGAGCAGAGACAAGAGAGGAAGTAGAGAGAGAGACATAGCGGCACCCGCGTCCTGCAGCCTACCTGCGGAGTAAGGCTCCTGTTTCTCTGGATGGATGAACTCCTTCCTCTCATACTTGGCTCGGATCCACTGCTCTCGAAGGAGTCTGCAGAGAGAGAGGATACTGAATTTGCAGCTGCACAGGTGCAGACACATTGCCCAGTGGAACATTTCAGAACATTCCAGGTGGGCAGGGTATCCTCAGCCAGCTTGGGGTGCGATAGCCCTGTGGGCAGGAGACCATGGGAGAAACGCAGGGGCATCACCCCAATCTAATTCCATCACCCCAAAAGAAACCTTGTATACTCATGATTAGTCACTTTCCACCCCACCCCCACCCCCGGCCCCTTTCTGTCTCTGTTCTGTATGCGTCCTACAAATGGGATCCCACAGTGTCTGCCCTTCGGGGTCTGGCACCTCACTAGGTATCACATTGTCAGGGTTCATCCAAGTAGCAGCATAGATCAGCACAGACAGACCTCCAAGATACCACAGGTTCGGTTCTAGCCCAGCACAATAAAGTGAGTACCGCCATAATGTAAGTTACACACATGTGCTGGTTTCCTCAAGCACATGGACATGATGCTGACACGGAACTGTGGTCCGTGAAGTGTCCTTGACTCCAGGGGGCCAGAACTCATGTCCATCAAGCCCCTTGGCTGGTCTCTGATTTTAGCCACATAAATGCAGAGATGGGGCATCACACCGCTGGGTCAGCCAAGGCACAGGCCAGGGTTAGGCCTCTGGGACGGTGCCCTCACCCTGGGGTTTTCTCGATTCCTGTCAATTACACAGAACTGAACAAACAGGAAGTTTCTGGCTTGCTTAGCCCCAGATTAAGGGCACACACCCGGGAAGATGGACCTGCATTGACTTGGGGAACCTTGGGAGTCACCCCCGCTTGCTCAGTTTCTTATCTGACACAGGGGTACATGTGCCTGCCTCTCAGAGCTGTGGGGCCCATATGCCCTGGTGTGGTGGTCAGTGTGTTGGTGAACAGGAAGGGCGCAGAAGGATGAATCTATGGAAGTGGGTGCCAGGAGTCAGCAACTGCATACCCACCCCCTTGGCAGAACCATCCAGAATTGTTCTTGATGGTCACATGGCCAGATCCCCAGAACCCACTGGGGGCACCTGTATTTTCTGGTGTGTCTCCCAAAGCCTCATGTGTAGGGACAGCACCAGGACCTGCACTGAAAGATAAGGACATGCGCTTAGAGACCTAGTGTTGTTGTTGTTGTTAAGTACCAAGTACCCAGTTCTGACTCATAGTGACCCTACACAGGGTTTCTGAGGTTGTAAATCTTTACGGGAACAGAAAGCCTCATCTTTCTCCCACGGAATAGCTGGTAGTTTCAAACTGCCGACCTTGAGGTTAGCAGCCTGATTTATAACCACTACGCTACCAGAGCTCCTTGTGAGGGGAAAGGAAATGCATAGCCCCACCTGGGGACCAGAGCCACACACACCCACACTCCCCACAGAGGCTCCGCAGAGCCAGGCCCCAATGCCAGATTCACAGGGCCGGAAGGTACTTGGGTAATCGCATCTATGGACTCAGGGCAGGGGGGACATGGGAGCCCTGGGGCACCCCTACACTGGGGAAACTGAGGCCAGTGACCTGTCTGCAGAAGCATCTGTTAAACAGAGAGGAAAAGTGACTGTCTGGGGCTGCACAGCCAGACAGAGCAGCAGGATTGAAATTCAGGGTTTTCCAGGACTGGCCTCTCTCCAAGTACACTCCAGAACAGCACACGTGCCCCAACAAATGGACCAGCGTCTGACTGTCTGCCTAAAATCCATATCACCCCATAGTTCTCATGGTACACCCCCAGCCACACCTCTTCACAGTTTACAGTGCATATTCTCACCCTGCCTTCTACCACTGGACGTACCTACAGTTTATACGTTTACATGCCACCTGCTACAATTCCACAGCATAGTACAGTTTACAGTGGACTCACACCTCACCCCTTCCATCCCAACTCTCTACAGTTCACACTGGACTCACACCTCACCCCTTCCATCCCAGCTCTCTACAGTTCACACTGGACTCACACCTCACCCCTTCCATCCCAACTCTCTATAGTTTACAGTGGACTCATACCTTACCCCTTCCATCCCAACTCTCTACAGTTTTCAGTGGACTCATACCTCACCCCTTCCATCCCAGCTCTCTACAGTTCGCACTGGACTCACACCTCACCCCGTCCATCCCAGCTCTCTATAGTTCACACCAGACTCACACCTTACCCCTTCCATCCCAACTCTCTACAGTTTACAGTGGACTCACACCTCACCCCTTCCATCCCAGCTCTCTATAGTTCACACCAGACTCACACCTTACCCCTTCCATCCCAACTCTCTACAGTTTACAGTGGACTCACACCTCACCCCTTCCATCCCAGCTCTCTACAGTGAGCAATGTGTTCATACACATTGCTCCCTCGGGGCTCACATCTGCCCGGTGAACTGCCAGAGCAGGGTCTCCCTGGGGGCCCGGGAAGGCAGGGTCAGCACCTGGCACCCAGAGCGCCCCCCACCCCAGGAGGTGCTCAGTGACCCTCACCAACAGGAGTGGGAGTCAGAAGGACCTCAGTGGTTGGGGAGAAGTGCAAGCATCACTCCTGTGCATGCAGGCAGCCTTGTGGCCTGCTATGTGATAAAATCACAACTCAAAAATAGCGCTTCAAACACCCAGTTGCTGACTCATCCTCAGAATGTAAAACCCACCACTCTGTCCCAGCCTCCCCGAGGAGGAGTGGGTGAGAGTTCAAGCAGCTTACTGGCAGGGATAAGTTCACCCACAGGCCTCAGTCTCCCCACCTGAGAGGCCAATAGGCTGTAAAGCACTCAGTGACTGTCCTTGGGGTGCGGGGGGGGCAGTGTTGTCAGAGATGATGAACATACTTCCAGTCTTTCTTCTTGCACCCAAGGGGAGCCTGCTGGATCTCAGCCAAGAAACCCTACCTCCATCCTCCTCTTTCTTTCTCCTTGCCTTCTTTCCTTCCTTCCATCCATCCACCTACTCATCCATTCCCCATCCACTCACCCATCCACCCATCCATCCATCCACCCACTGATCCACCCATCCACCTACCCATTCATCCATCCATATACCAATTCATCCATGCCCATCCAACCACCCACACACCAATTCATCCATGGCATCCATGGCATCCACCCACCCATTCATTACCCAACTACCCTTCCATGTATCTATCCATCCCTCATCTACCCATCTACCCTCCATCTACTCATCCATTCATCCACCATCCATCTATCCACCCTCTCTTCTTCCTCTGTCTTTCCTCCTTGCTGTCTCCCACCCTGAAACCCTCTCTTGAGAGCTAGGATCCTGCATATTCAGTGAGAACATGTGGATCCCATTCTCTTCTTGTAGAGCTCAGTCTTGGAGGCACAGGCACCAGACAGAAGCTCTTGGGTGTTGAGAAGCCCTGTATACATATACCTCTGGGATGTACAAGTCACAATTCTTGAGGTCAGACCTGCAGCCCCCACAGCAGCCAATACCAGGAGCCTCACTGGATAAATAGGTACTCTGGGGGGACTGCCTGCAGGATGAGCAAGACAAGTCATTTTCACATGTGCCCATTTAATTCTGATTGCAATGCCAACCCATGCCACCAAGGAGCTTAAGTTTGAAATGGGAGACAATGAGAGAGAAATGGCCAGCCAACCAGAGGCTGGACACTGCCCAGGTTGGGGGAAGGACAGTTTTGGGATGGTGCTGGCCTGACCATAGGCCTTCAAGACTAGAGATGGCCTTGAGGCTGGGCTGAACAATGGCTGATCCTGAGAAGTGCACCCACACCCGCCAATCCCAACTCTGGGTATGAGAGTCTGGAGGCGGAGAGGCAGGGGCTGGCCCTAGTGAACCCCTCCCTTCCAAATGCCCCAGAATCTGGTGGTCATGTGGCCCCCACCACAAGTCTGATCTCCCAGAACATCAGGCCATAGGAAGAACATGTCAGGGGCCTCTCCATCCCACCCCCAAGGTACCCCCAGTCCATGGGAAGGTTGGCAAGGAAGGTTCCTGGGGGCAAGGGCTCCGTGTTCCAGCCAAGGAGAAGGGGTCCTTAGGCAGTGTGGGTAGAGGTGGGGTGGAAGGATGGGATAACCCAACCTGGATACAATGAAGGGGGCTCACTGTTGGCACTGTGATCGTCAAGTGTGCAGGCCCTGTGAGCTGTCCCATTACTTCATTGATTCCACCAGGCAGATGGGGAAACCAAGGCTGGGGAGCTCACAAGATCACTAAAGAGACTTCATTCTCTCTGTAAGACTCAGGTCTCCAGGGATTCTCCCACACCCTTGCCCTGGACCACTACCCAAGTCACTGGCAGCAAATGACCTCCCAGCCCTTCCTCTGATTCCCCCCAAAAGGTCAGACCCAGTGAGGGGGAGGCAAGAGATGAGGACCACCCCATGTTCCCCCTCAATCCCGGGGGCCTGGGGCTCAGCGAGGCTGCCGTTCCTGACAGCTCCCCAGGGACCCAGTTGATCTAATCTCTCCCCTGCCCCCCACAGCTGATAGAGCACCCCAGTCACTCTCGGGCCCTTCCCAGACACCCACCCCATCTCCTTGGGCCTCCCCTGCAGCACTGGGCAGAAAGGGTCACGCATTACTCACTGGCAGTCAGAGAAGGAGGGTCGGTAGTAGAAAGAGGGCACTTTGGCCTCATAGGTGGCTCTGGCGGCTTCATTTCCATGGGAGGCCATGAACTGCAAGAGAGAGGGGTCAACCTGGCTCTAAACCCTGATGGCAGTGGAGGGTATGAAACCCAACCCCCTCCAGTTCCAGAGTGAGCAGGGAGGGATGGGACACCGCCTTTGCCCCATGACCCTCGGGTCCCATTGGTGGGGGGAAGGGGTCCCCCCCAAACTCCAGTGTCAATGTAGGCCGGCAACTCAGTTCTACCTCATTCACAACAAAAGTTGCCATCTACTCAACCCCAACTCAAGGCATACCCATGAGTGTCAGAGTAGAACTGTGCTCCAAAGGGTCTTCAGTGGCTGATTTCTCAGCCAGGTCTTTCTTCTGAGGTGCCTCAGAACCTTCCAGCTAGCCACTGAGGATGTTCACTGCTAGCACCTCCCAGGACACCCTCCTCATTTAAGGCCTGGTTGATTCACTCCAGATATTAGCAAGCAGCTACTGTGGGCAGACACTCTTGGGGTCCAGGGGACAGAGGGACAAAGTGACCCTCTTGTGAGGGAGTGACAGATGGTACTGAATTTCACCTGCGAACCCTGAAAACAGCCAAGAAAACCCTGCAGGCTTGTTATCCCTACTCACAAACTCAAGCCATCCAAACCTCACCCTGGGCCTCACACATGACATGCTAGACAGTCTGTCCCATTGACCAGTGGGAACAAGACACTGGGTAGCCAATGGGATCAGCGTTTGCCCTCCCCCAGGTTCCTGACTGAACCGCAGTCTGCCTCAGCACCCAGCCCCTCCTCACGGACCCCCTGGACAGGCTACCCTCATGGCAGAACAGTTTGACTCACGGTCCCTTCTGGAAGCCTGACCAGTCCACTTCCCTGCCCACACTGCACCCTTACTAGCTTGTGCCTGTCAAAGAAATACCCTTTGTCTTCACTCTTGAGATGCTTGGCCCAAATTCCCCCTATGGTAATAGTCCCTCCACTATTGCAGTGGTCCCTTCCCTATTGTAGTACAAGGGGTCATCATGTTTACTTCATCAATATTCCTACCATAGGGAAGGGATTATTACAGTGGGGGAGGGGATACTGCAAATGGGGAAGGGCTACTACAATCAGGGAGAGGCTATTAAAATCAGGAAGATCCTGGACTATTAGAATAGGAGAGGGACTACCACAATAGGAGAAGGACTACTACAAAAGGGGAGGGGCTATTACAATTGTTGTTAAGAGGCTTGAGTCAGTTCCGACCCATAGCAACCCTGTATAGGGTTTCTAAGGAGAAGCTGGTAAGCTTGAACGCCAACCCTGTGGTTCAAACCAACTTTGCAATCTGAAGCATTAGCCCACAGCGCCATACCAGGATTCCCTGTTGTAATGGTCCTCCCCTATTGTAACAGCTCCTCCACTATAGAAATAGTCCCTTACTGATTGTATTAGCCCCTCCCCTATTGTAACAGCCCCTCCCCTGTTGTAGTAGCCCCTCCTCTATTAAAATAGTCCCTTCCTGATTGTAGTAGCTCCTCCCCTATGATAGTAGCTTCCTCCTCAGTGTAGTATCCTCCTCCCCACTGCAATACTCCGGGCCCCATTGAAATAACCCCACCCCCATTGCAATAGGGCTCTCTGTTTGCAATAGCTCCTCCCCGCCTTATACTAATAAAGGGCCCCTTATGAAGTCCAGATTGGCTTTCTGTTGTTAATACACAGACTACAAAAATAAGGAACAAGATTCCAAACTGTAGCAAATGCTCAAGGAATGAGACAGGATGTGCAGCATCCCTGGGTGAGAGGCCAGTTTACAAAGGTGACCAGGAGGGCATCTTGGAGAGCCAGCACTAAGCAAAGTCTGAATCAGGCTAGGAGTATCCTTGTCCTAGAAGCAGCATGCAAAGTGGGCCTGAGGCTGGGCAGCATGGCTGGGTAAAGTGAGTGGGTGAAGAGGGAGGCCAGTGGGTCCAGGGGAGGAGGCAGACTGAAACCTTCCATGGGTGATCCTGAAGGTATTTAAAATACCCATGGCACAGCTTCCGGCATCACAGCCAAGGCCTGGCCACTGACTTCCAAAAACCCGTCAGAGAAAATCCTACAGATTTCAACAGAGCAATGTCCCACTCACTTGCTCTGGACCCGCCATCAGGTGGGCTGGCTTGCTGGAGGAAGGCCAGTGAGAAGGACGATGGCTGCTGGGATGCATTAGCCAGGGGACTAGAACATGCTGACGTTGGTGAGGCTGACCCAGGACTGGGCTTTGTGCTGTTAGACATCAGAATGCCAGGGCGGCAGCAGACAACCGGCCACAAGTGCAAAGGACAGCCTCAGCTGAAAGGTTCCTCCCTACAGAGCTGCCTGTAGTCACCCTTCCCCCTACAGCTACCCAGCTTGGAGGGCCATGGAGACCCCTGAGGGGCAGCTGGATAAAAGGATAAACAATAATGGGATTCAACAAGGGCTGGTACAGAGTTCACAAAGCAAAGGTTTTCCTTGGAAACCGAGGCCAGTGATGGTTGTAAACAAGATCGAACTATTGAAATGGTAACTGGTTTGCTACATAATTATTTACCAGAATAAACAAAGAAAATGAAAGCAGTGGCTTTGCTGCATCATAAACCCCTCAGTTAGGAAATATAATAGAATGAAAGACCCTATTTACCATAGCAATGATAATGGGCAAATACTTTAGAGAAAACATTAAAAATGAAAAGGGGAGAGTTTTCAAAATCTCTAAAAGGATTTTTACGTTCCCTAGAGACACACAAAAGAAATGCTGAACATAATCTTGGATAGCATGATGCAAAAAAAGTTGTCTCCCTAAAATCATCCATAGATCCAAGGCAACCCCCCAAAATAACAATAATAGAACTATTGAGATGACAGTTGCTAAGTCCACTGGAAAAGATAACAAGTAAAATACCCCTAGAGAATTCTGAAAAATAAGAAGGAAAACACTCTGCCAGATTTCTTTTTGGGGTGATGAAAAGTTCTGAAATCCAACAGGGGTGACGGTGTGGACATATGGAAAAGTCCAGTGACTAACAGGCCCACAAGGTGAACAATCACAGCAGGGAGGAACACACTCCTTACAACAACCACCATATGAGATTCAAAGGGCAGCATGTGCTCAGGGAGGAAGCTCAGAAGGCAGGAAGGGATAGGAAAGAAGGATGGGTGGAAAGAGGAAACCCAGGGCGGAAGTGGGAAGAGCGCGTTTACATTTCGGGGATTGCAGTCATATCACGGATCAGAATGTGTACAGATTGTTGAATGGAAAGCCAATTTGCTCTGCAATCTCACTCAAATCACAAACAGTTGAAAAAAAAACAACAAATACAAAGCTATTATTTTTAAATGATACTACAAAAGTGCCAGTGGAGATGGCAGAGGTGGTGGAAAGCTTGAAGAGAGTGTAGGGATCATCGTGGTGAGCACAGATGTTCCCACCAAAAGCGCTAGGGACAATTCCACTACTGTGTCACACGCCAACCTCATGCACAACTTCATCATGAAGGCATGGAGCACAGTGCATGAAAATGACACTCAGCATGACCTCACCTTCCTTCCAGTTTGCTACAAGAAAGCAAACTCAAAGTTGCACCAGGTCAAGACTATTTCCTGACTGTGATTCCTTAATTGAACATCCTCTGTGATAGTTGGCGTCCTGTTGTGGCGCTGCGGGTTAATGCACCAGACTGCAAAGCCATTTGAACTACAAGGTCAGTGGTTCAAGCTCACCAACCGCTCCTCAGAAACCCTATACAGGGTCTCCATGAGTCGGAACTGACTGGATCGCACTTTACAACCAACAACAACCTGTGACAGTTAAGGTTTTGTGTCAACTTGACTGGGCCAGGATGTTCAGTGGTTTGGCAGTTGAGATGTAATCCTTCCCTACAATAAGGTCAAATACGATCCATCTCTTCCCTGATGAGATCTGCTATTAGCAACCAACCAACCAAGGGGGAGCTCAGTCAAAGCTTTCTCTCTCTACTGAGTCTGGATCTCGGATTCTTTGGATTTGAGCCAGTAGCCTGTTCTATTACCTCTTGACCCTCTACAACTGTGTGAGGCATTTCCTTGATATAAACCTCTCTTTATATATACATATACAAGCTTCACTGGTGTTACTTCTCTAGAGAATCCAGCCTAAGTCACCCTCCAAGACGAATAATCATGCCAGCCAACCACAAGTGTAAACCACCTATCAGTCCACTCATACCAACCTAGTGACCACGGCTGGGCTGGCCAGTGGAACTTTCTGCTGCTCCCTCTGGGAGGCTCTCACTAATCACTCTGGGGTTTGTGAACAGCCCACACTGGCCCCTTCTGACCTTCAGTTCATTTGTCTCCCTTAGAAAAGGCTGCTTGTCTTTAACTAAAAATAACCCAGATGCTTATTTAAAATAATAATAATAATTTTAGGAAAGCCACAAACCCCAAAACCCACACAAGAAAAGAGTAATAAGCTTGACAACATAAAAGACAAAAAAATCTACAGCACAAACCACTATAAGCCAAGTTCAGAGACAAATAGTGTAGTGGGGGAAATAGTTTCAACTAATTTCCCTAAGAATAGACAACTCAACTCTTGGGAGACCAAAGGACCTAACAATGAAATAGGAAGCTGGGGGAGGGTGCAAACAGACAGTTCACAGAAAAGAAAACACAAGAAATCTAAAACATGTCACAAGATGCTCAATGCAAGATAGGAAATCTCTCAGTAAAGAACGCAGACCAACAAAAGGAAAACACTGGGTCCCATGGTTGTAGGCAGGGGGTGGGAAGCACTTCCCAAATGTTGCTGTGGAGTGGCTAAGTGGTTATCGTGGAAAGTTTGGCAAAAGTTCTTAGAATCCACTAAGTCACATCCTCTGCCTTTGACTGCCAACGGCGGCTCTGAGCCACACCTGGCTCCAAGGGCCAGGGAGCTCTTGAAGAGAGACCCGAGTGGGGGTCTGTGTGGTTCTGCTCGTCCCCCCATCCCCACCCATTCTCCATCCCTACCTCCACTTGGGCCTCATCCCAGGTGTCCAGGCGGACCGATTTCACCTTGCTGGCCTGGGGGATGTTCCGGTGGATGCCAGAGCAGCTCAGGCAGATGAACACGCCAAGGGTGTGGGAGGCCCAGTCAGGGTCTGGAAGACAAAGGTCAGGGATCAGGCTGGAAACCACAGAGGCATCTCTCTTGGCCTCAGTGTCCCTGTCCATGGAACCAGAGGCTGGGGGAGGAGACCTTGTGCTTATGGGCTCTCTCGTCCACCATCCTAGGTCCCTGGCAAGCTGAGGTCACTTGTGTAAGGGGACCTCACATAGCAAGCTGGAATCTCACAGTGGGCCACCCTTCTGTGCTCCAGGAGCCCATCCCCCAAGGCCAATTCACACACAGAGGTCATCAAACACTTACTCTCCACCTGAGATGAGAGATGGATTTTTTTAAAAACTGCTTTCCCTTGTTAAAGAAAATCTGAGAACTCAAATTATTCTAATCTTAATTAAAACAAACAAACATTGCTGTCAAGTCATTTATGACCACTCATGGCACCCCCATGTGTACCAGAGCAGAACTGGTCTCCACAGCACTTTCAATGGCTGGATTCTGCAGTGCTGCTAGATAAATTGGAAGTTTCAACCTTTGGTTAGCAGCCACCCAGAGACTCCTCGAGAAAAAACCCACTCGTTTTCTGACACAGCACAGTGTTGGCCCAGGGTGTGTGGGAACAGCGGGTGGGCTGGGCCGGCCTCCCCGTGTGTGAAAGTTTTTCCTGTGGTGGGAAGTCAGAGTCTGTGTGGCAGAATGGGAAGCTTGTTGAGTTGAGGCAAGCGTGTGGGCTCTACCACTTTGAGACGATTCTTCCCGTTTTGGGTGTCTCCTTGTCATAACCATGTAAAGGGGAAGCCGGGACTGTAGAAAGGGGTCCTCATGGGGCCCTCTGGAAGTGGGGAACTGCAGTGAAGAACAAACCATGCTCTCCGCTGTCATGGACTCAAGGACAGAGTAGAGCTGTGCCCCACAGGTCTTGGCAGCTACACACCACCAGTCTTTTCTTTCAAGCGGCTGCTGGGTAGGTTCGAACCACCAGCCTGTTAGTCATCGAGGGCAAACTGATTCCCCACCAGGGTCTTCTTCCTCCAGTGTCAGGTGAGTTTCAAACAAGGCACTTGGTGGCTCCGCTGGCCGAGGATCCCCTGAGTGGGGTTCCCTTCCTCAACCCCCACCCCCCTCAGCACAAGCCGGTAAAGACACCCCACCTTATTTGGTCTGAGAGTATAGTGCTGACTCATCCTGTAATCACTACAGGGACTGGAGAGTGGGAAGGAGGGGTGCCAGGCAAGGAGTCCAAAGGGCTAGGGAGCTGTTGCCATCCCGGTCCCCACCCCACCCAGGAAATAGCTTTCCATTTGTCCTCAGGACACTCTGGAGACCTGCAGGGCCCCCAGGCCTAATTCTACACCTCTCCTAGTGAAGGCCCAAGCCATGGGTTCCCCAAGTGGAGAGTGGATGATTCAGGAGAGACTAAGAGCCCTCCAGGGAGGAGCTGGGTTCAGGCACCTACCCATCTCCCTCGCTACTGGGCAGAAACCAGGCACTCGCTGGCTGCCCAGGAGACCTGAGAAAGCAAAGTGGCACGCGGGGCCGGCAGGCAGGTGTGGGTGTGAGGCCACCTCCCTGCACCCTGCATCCCTAGGCCAGGCACACCCTTCTGCAAAGGGGGACGCTGAGGCCTCTCACCCAGGAGCAGTTGACATTCACCAAGGCCCCAGGGGCCTCCCCAGTCAGGCGTCCACTGGCACCACCCCATGAAGCTGTCCCCTGCATAGTTACTGGCCAGCGTGGGTGGTAATTTGAACTTGCCAGTTGGGTGTGGGTGGAGAGGGGTATCTTTGCAGCCTGTTTCCTGGAATGATGGAGGCAGCCCCGCATAACTCTCAGGGACCTGGGTTTGGTACTAAGGCACTGCTTCATCCCCAGCCCCTGATCTCCTGAAACATGTGGAATGCAGGTGGTATTCTTGGTACCAGGGCAGCAAGAGGAGAAACAGCCTGCAGAAGCTCCTGGGCCTGCCACCCATCCAGTGTCTTACTTCATCTTCCCAGTCCCTGGTGGCCTCTCTGCCCCAGCCCCTGATCTACTCAGTGTCCCCTGAAAGCCAAGAGTGATGTTTTTTCATTTTATTGTGGGAAATACATCTAACAAAAGCCATTCCAACATCCCAAGTGCACATCTCCCCACCAAGGTGTACTACCATCACCAGTCTCTGTTTCCAGAAGCCCCCCCCCCCCCCCTTTCTCCCAATCCCTTGCCCTGGAGGAGACTCTGACCCACAGTGATGCTGTAGGACAGAATGGAACTACCCCATAGGATTTCCAAGGCTGCCAATCCTTATGGGAGCAGATTACCTCATCTTTCACCCATGAAGTGGCTGCTGGGTTTGAACTGCCACCTTTTTGGCTAGCAGCTGAGTGCTTTAGCCACCGTACTACCAGGGATCCTTCACCTCCTTCAGCCCCTGGTGAATTGTAAAACTTACTTTGGTCTCTGCATTTGTCTATTCTAGACATTTACAGAAGAGGGATCAGACAGCATTTGACCTTTAGTGTCTGACTTCCTCCCTCAGCATGATGTGGTCAAGGTTCACCCACATAGTTGCCCGTAGCAAGATTTCATCTCTCTTTATGGCTGAATGATGGTCCACTGAGTGGACAGACCATGTTGTATGTGTCCATCATCTAATGGACACTTGGGTGTGCCTGCCATTGGACCAGTAATGGTGTGAGACACAAACTGTCAATATTGTGTGGGCCTACCTTTGCCCACCTCTGTCCAAGGTCCCCAGCCCAGCTGTCATTTCCTTAAAGGTCGACGACCACGCACCTAGAGGGACTCCAGCCCCATCCCTGCTTGCCTGGTCACTGTCTTGATCCCCAGGGTGTAATCCAGGCTGACTGTGACCCCATCTCTGTAGCCTAGTGCCCAGCACACATTCCAGCCTGTCTGTCTCCTTGCCTGGCTCTAACCTGAATTCTCCTTCTTGACCGCTCACTGGACGTCAAAGGGACAGGCCACACCCACTCTGTCTGGTGTGCTGACCTGGAGGTTTTCTGCAGACAAGCAGTTCTCAGGTCTGCCTTGAGCATTATGCCTTTCTAAGAGCTATCTGTAAGGGATCACTTCATTCTTCACAATGTTGTCCATCGACACTCAGGGAAGCAGCAGTCAAGAAGTTAAATGACATATTCCATTAAGCAAATCAGCTGCACAAGACCTCTTTAAAGTGTTGAAGAGCAAAGATGTCAGTTTGAGGACTAAGGTGTGCCTGATCCAAGCCATGGTCTTTTCAATTGCCTCAAATGCATGTGAAAGTTTGACAGTGAATAAGACAGACTGTAGAAGAATTGATGCATTTGAGTTGTGGTGTTGGAGAAGATTATCAAAACTATCATGTTGTTGTTGTTGTTGTTAGGTGCCATCGAGTTGGTACCAATTCATAACAGCCTTATGCACAACAGAACAAAACACTGCCTGGTCCTGGGGCCAACCTCACAATTGATGCCGCCATTTTGCCATTCTACCTTGCTGGGGGGTTTCCTGTTTTTCTCTGACCCTCCACTTTACCAAACATGATTATCTTCTCCAGCGACTGGTCCCTCCTGACAATATGTCTGAAGTATGAGACACGAAGTTTGGCCATCTTGGCCTCCAAGGAATACTCTGGCTGCACTTCTTCCAACACAGATCTGTTGGTTCTTTTGGCAACCATGGTACTTTCAATATTCTCCTCCAACACCATAACTCAAATGCACCAATTCTTCTACGGTCTTCCTTATTCACTTTCCGCTTTCGCATGCATATGAGGTTATTGAAAATACCATGTCTTGGGTCAGGCGCACCTCAGTCCTCAAGCTCTTCAACACTTTAAAAAGGTCTTGTGCAACAGATTTGCCTAATGCAATACACCGTTTGATTTCTTGACTGCTGCTTCCATGATTGTTGATGGTTGATCCAAGAAGAATAAAGTCCTTGACAACTTCAATCTTTTCTCCATTGATAAGAATGCTGTTGATTGGTTCAGTGGTAAGGATTTTTGTTTTCTTTACATTGAGATGCAATCCATACTGAAGACTTTAATCTTCATCAGTAAGTATTTTAAGTCCTCTACACTTTGGTAGTGTGGTGGTTACGAATCGGGTTGCGAACCTTAAGATCAGCAGCTCAAAACTACCAGCTGTTCTGCGGGAGAAAGATGAGGCTTTCTGCTCCTGTAAAGATTTACAGCATCGGAAACCCTGTACAGGGTTGCTATGAATTAGACCTGACTCCACGGCACATAACCACCACCACCACACTTTCAGCAAGCAAGGTTGTATCATCTGCATATTGCAGGTTGTTAATGAGTCTTCCTCCAATCCTGATGCCACATTCTTCTCCATATAACCCAGCTTCTCAGATTATTTGCTCACCATATAGGTTGAATAAGTATGGCGAAAGAATACAACCCTGTGGCACACCTTTCTTAATTTTAAACCATTCCATGCTCCTATGTTCTGTTCAAACAACCGCCTCTTGGTCCATGTACAGATTCCTCATGAGCACAATTAAGTGTTCCGGAATACTCACACTTCACAATGTTGCCCATAGCTTGTGATGATCCACACAATTGAAAGCCTTTGTGTAGTCAATAAAGCACAGGTAAATATCTTTCTGATATTCTCTGTTTTCAGCCAAGATCCATTGGACATCAACAATGATATCCCTTGTTCCATGGCCTCATGGGCTGCCAAAAGAACAAACCAATCTGTGTTGAAAGAAGTATACCAGAACGCTCTTGGAAGTTAGGATGGCCGGACTTCGTCTCTCATACTTCAGACATATTATCAGGAGGGACCAGTACTTGGAGGGTATCATGTTTGGTAAGGTACAGGGTCAGAGAAAAAGAGGAAGACCCCCAACAAGATGGATTAGCACAGTGGTAGCAGCGATGTGATTGTGAGGTTGGTATGGGACCAGGCAGAGTTCATCCTTTTGTGCGTAGGGTCACTATGAGACAGTGTCGACTCGATGGCACCTACCAACAACATAAGGGATCAAAATGAGTGCTGGTGGCACTGTGGGATTAGCATTGGGCTGCTCACTGCA